TGTTTCTTTGACCTACAGGTGGGAGAAGAGCTGGTTTAGGCCTTGGCCACATGCTGCAGTTTACAACAGGTGCAGACAATGAACCTGCTTTGGGTTTTCAAATCCAGCCAAGCCTTGCATTTGTAGAAGCAACAACTTCGTTCCTTCCCTCAGCCAATACTTGCATTTGCCGTTTAACTCTCCCACGGCCATCCGTCAATCATGCCCTTCCGACAGAAAAACAGTTCTATAACTTGTATGACCTAGCATTTTCAAATGCTTACTTTGGTCATGCTTAAGTACAGGTATTGCCACCCTCGAGAAAATTATGAACTATCATTTTTCTGCTTTTCCCATGCTACAGGTCATGAAGTACCAGTAGTCTTTACAATGTAGATGTTGTTTTGTTACAGTTGAAATGCAAAAAAATTTGCACTGCTTAGGTTTGGGGTCAGTCAAGAGATTGCTCATAACTTCAGGTTTTAGAATTTCTGCTAAGTACAAATGAATCTTGTTATCTATTCTGAAGTAAAGGGTGAGGCTTGCTGTACCCTTTTAAGTTCCTCACTTTGCAGATCATAAAGGCAATTTTTGTGAATTGCCTTGAGACCCTTTTTCTTTGTGGCTACTGCCCTTATGATGTCTTGAAGTGGGCACCGTTAAGTACTCCATTCATCGGTTGTGGACTGGGTTAAACCAGTGATAATAATATGAGTAACTCATACTAAATGACAACTAGGCAGGTTTGTTTAACCCTTCAACCGCCAATATCAATATGCTCTATTCTCCTCATCATAGTCCCCGTGTATCTTGTGATAGCAGTGGTATGCTGTCAGGAGAAATAGATCATTGCTGGCCACATGCCATTGGGGCTTAAAGGGTTAAAGTTTAAATCTAGTTAGATGTACAACAAAACAGTTTCTTGTTTGAACTTGTATAGAATCTTGGTTTTTCAGTTAACATAATTCTGGCCAGTTGCCTTTCACAGCAAAAAAGAGTGACTGATATTTTACTATAAATTTTGAAAGCTGCAATTTGTCTAATCAATCACATTTCCCCTGTTGTTTGGAAATCAAGATTGTAATAAGGTTCTACAAAGAATCACCAAGGTTAGTTTCCTTTGTGTCTTTGAATAACTTCAGCTGCTGTCTGAAAGTCTTCAATTCCATGGTTGAAGGATGTGTATGTTTTTTAATAAAGTTCAGTTTTGCAAGGCTCATCAATTTCAATTACCAGCTGTCTAAACACTGGCCTGTTGTCCCTGTCTTCATCATCAGTGACAATTCCTTCTACACCATAATTATTCAGATCCAACATTGAGACATCTGGCCCAGGATCTTGCATCTGTCCAGCCAACCACAGCCGAAGTGGACTAGACCTTGTGGTCCGAATACAATGGCAAGACCAGACATTTTGCCATATTTTCAATTTCTCGTTGATCTGAGGTAAATATATGAAGTGAAGTGCAGCAAGATGAACGTCACTTAAAGGGTCAAGGATTTGGGTGTCTTCCATGAAGAAAAACAGGTCATAATAAAAACCCAAAACTCCTTCATACACATCCCTCCATAAACGTTCTATGCGTTGGTTATGGGTGCTTTTGCCTGTAATCATGCTACCTCGGTTACCCCCTCTGTATTCAATCATAAAATCAGCTACGCCAACATTTTCTAAACCCTTGTCACTT